GTGGTGTGCAGAGACAAAATTACGAAAATTGTGTCACTGTCCAAATACTTATGGACCTGACTGTATATGCTCCCTCTGGGTGCAATTGTCCATAAACATGGTATTAACTTCCACTGTTATGCTGATGACACACAGTTACATGTTTCAGCAAAGCCAGATGAGAGACACCGGCTTAATAAACTAAAGGACATCAGAAACTGGATGCTTACTTACTTCCTTCTGCTTAATTCCGACAAGACAGAAGTACTTCTACTAGGACCACAGGCAGCTAGAAGCAAGCTTTCGGCCTTCCTGTTTCATCATGTGCAGCAGTAAAAGATCTTGGTGTGATTATTGACTCCAGTCGTTCATGTGAAGCTCATGTAGATAATATTACTAGGATAGCCTTCTTTCATCTCAGAAATGTTGCTAAGATAAGAAATATAATGTCACTACCTGATGCAGGAAAACTAACTTTTGTTACCTCTAGGATGGATTACTGTAATGCCTTGCCGTCTGGATGCTCCAGTAGGTGCATAAACAAGCTCCAGGTAGTCCAGAATGCAGCAGGCAGAGTCCTTACTTGAATCAGCAAATATGACCACATATTCGGTACCTCAGATAAGGCTACAGCAGAGGGCAGAGCTTTCTCTTACAAAGCCCCACAGTTTTGGAACAGCCTTCCAGTTAATGTCTGAAAACAAACAACTCTGGCAGGACCTGAACCCACAAGCTTTTAATAGCATCATTGCTAAGCCTAGAAGTCACCATACAGTGTGCCACAGAGCCCATCTTGGCGTGCTTGTGCGGTGTTTCAACTCAGGTTGTAAGAAAGGCATAGCTCTTGCACCAACAGGAGAGTCCTGCATCGAGCACTACTGGAATTCAAACTCTGGATTTCCTGTTTACTTGACAGGCACTTTAGAGCCCAAGTTCATGTCAGGTTAGTCCAAATTCATGGAAAGCATAGTGCTTGCAATCACAGAAGAGTTCCCGGTTTTTAGACAGGTGCTTTTCTGTTGATAGCACTTGAAATCAACATGCAACATGTCTGAAAGCAAACAAGTCTGGAAGGACCTGAACACAATTTGGCTTCCTGGCATGGTGTGTAGACAGGCGCTTTAACCAACTAAGCCACAGCACCCCAACCATTTTTGGGGGCAATCTTCAACAGCCCATGCTTTTGAAACTTGCAGTCGAAAGCAACATGCAAACAACTGTTGACAGCAATTGCTCTGAGGGTACTCAGCATATGTTTCTAATCTTTGCTAATCAGAATGCTAGTCTGGGGTTTGCATGTGTGAGCACAAATTGCGACAGGAATCCATGTCATGAGTATTTGTAGGGACTTAAATTTAGGAAACAGCTTCATTTTGGCCAAATAAGCAGAAACAACGATATTGTTTCAACCAGGGCCAATGAAGCATTCCATTTAAGATGATAAGTAGGGAATTGCCTTGTCAGGACAGGATTCCTCACCATGGAATTCTTCTCAGATACTCTGTCTGGTATAGAAGAGACTAACACGCAACAAAAAGAGGGGAGCAAACAACTCTGGTGGGACTCAAACCCACAACCTTTGAATAGCTCTAACACCGAGCCTAAAAGTCCAATGCGCTATCCATTGCGCCACAGAGCCCCATTGCCTCTGTATGCCTCATCTGACACATATATTGACACAAAGGACTCATATAAATGATAAATGTGTGAAGTTAACCAAGAGAAAGTTGAACCTGAGTCCTATCACATAGGCTGTCTAGTCTCTAAGTTGAGCTTCAGGTACAAGTTGTCCACGCTTCACACTCACACACTGAAGTGAGAACTGCCGAATGATCTTGAAAATCTCCCTTAACATCTTGGGAAGGGGAATCCAGCCAGGTACGCAATTAAAGAGCTTGTGCCTTGTCCTTTGAAAAGGTTCTAGCCCAGATGTCAGAATCTAGTCGCAACAGTCATAGCCCACCACTTGTCTCTGAGTTTCAATGCGTCTTTATCATCTCAATGAGAAACAATGCACCGTCAACTCTGTGCCCTCATGCCGTTTGACCGCTTGATAAGATAAGATAAGATAAGATAAACTTTATTGATCCCACAGTGGGGAAATTCACTTATCACAGCAGCTCACAGACAGTTAAAGTGCAGGAAGAAAGAAAAGGATGGGAGAAAGAAAAGTTAAAACTATAACTATATATACACCTTAGAAATAATAAAAGAATAAAATTATATAAAATTTATAAAATATTGCACATTTGTACATCACAGTAATGCGGTGTTGTAAGAAATAAAATTATATAAAATTATAAAATATTGCACATCTGAACATCACTGTAATGCGGTGTTGTAAAGTCTGACAGCCACTGGTATGAATGACCTGCGGTAGCGCTCCTTCCTACACTGGGGGTGTAGCAGTCTGCTGCTGAAAGAGCTGCACGGGGTCTCCACAGTCCCATTCAGGGGGTGAGAGGTGTTGTTCATAATAGATGTCAGCTTGGCTAACATCCTCCTCTCACCCACCACCTCCACAGAGTCCAGTGGGCAGCCCAGGACAGAGCTGGCTCTCCTAACCAGCTTGTTCAGTCTCTTCCTGTCCCGCTCTGTGCTGCCTCCCACCCAGCAGACTACAGCGTAGAGAATTGCGGAGGCCACCACAGTATCGTAAAATGTCCTTAATAATGTCCTGCACACGCCAAAGGACCCTAGTCTCCTCAGCAGGTTGATGCGACTCTGGCCCTTCTTGTACAAAGCATCAGTGTATCGTAAAATTCACAGTATCGTAAAATGTCCTTAATAATGTCCTGCACAGTCCAAAGGACCCTAGTCTCCTCAGCAGGTTGAGGCGACTCTGGCCCTTCTTGTACAAAGCATCAGTGTTATCCAGCCAGTCCAGTCTACTGTCTACTATCCAGCCAGTCCAGTCTACTGTCTACTTAGCAACCTACTGTAATATGGTTGGACAAGGGACTGAACAAGCACCTGTGTGGCCTGTGTGGAAAGAAATGGATGAATACTTCTGATGTTATAAAGGAGAAATCGGCATGAGCGTGTCAGATTAGCAATGTGAGAGGAAAAGGACAGTTGATTGCCTATGGTTACCCCAAGGTTGCGCGCAGTAACTGAAGGCGAGATCAGAGAGTTGTCCAGGGAGATCGCAAGATCCTGACATGGGGATGAATCACCTGGGATGAACAGCTGAACTCTTTT